GCTTCGAAATTCCCAAAACCTGAACAACAAGGCTCACGTGATCTGGGTGTTCGAGGCAGAATTCGAAACGCGTCTGATACGAGTTTTGGCCGTGTCTGTTCATGTCTTTATTGATTTAATTATTAGCATGATTTCCATATCAAGAATTTAGAAAAGACCTCCTTATTCATTTTTACAGTCGTTATAATCCTTATTATTGCTTTTACTGTTAACATCATCATCTTAATCATTATCATTATTATTATCCTTATCCTTCTCATTATTATTGTTATTGTTACTGTTATTAATATATATATCCTAATCTAATGATAATGAATGATAATGATGATTATGATGATTATAATAATAATAATTATAATAATAACAACGATAATGATGATTTTGTTATTATCATTGCTGTTATCATTATCATTATCCATATTATTTGTATTATTATAAATACTGTTATTATCATTATTCCTATTATCATTATTTTGATTCTTGTATTATTATCTTATTACTATTATTTTCATCATTACCATCATTATTGTTATCGTTATTATTATTATTTTGATCATTATTATTTATTATTATTACTGTTGTTGTTGTTGTCATTACTGTTATTATTATCATTATTAATTATCATTATCTAATATTATTATTATCATTATTATTATTATTATCATCCTCATAATTATTATCATTATCATCATTACTATTATTATTGTTGTTATTAGTCTTATCATTGTTATTGTTATTGTTTTATAATAATAATCATCATTATCGTCATCATTATTATTATTGTTATTATTGTTACTGATTATTACTTTTATTATTATCATTACCGTTGTTGTTGTTATTATCATTATTATTGTTGTTGCTGCTATCGTTATTATTATTATGATAATAAAAATGATGATAATAATAATTGATTATTTATTATTATTATTATTATTATTATTATTAATATTATTTATTATTATTATTATTTATTATTATTATTATTTATTATTATTATTATTATTATTATTATATTATCATTATTATTATTATTATTATTGTTATTATCGTGAATATAATTATTTCCATAATCATTATCATTATTACTAAAATTGATATTATTATCATTAACATCATTATCATAATAGTATGTGATAATAGTGATTTTATGATATAATAATAATCACAACTATTTTTATTATTATCACTATCATTGATATTATGATTATGATTATCATTATTGTCATTAGTAGATGTTATCATCATTATTTCATCATTTTTGTCATTATTATTATTATTGGTATTATTATTAGCATTATTGTCATCATTGTCATTGCTGTTGTTGTTGATATCATTATTATCATCATCAGCATCATCATCATTATTCTCATTATCAACATCATCATCATTATTATCATAATCATTATTGTTGTTGTTTTCACTTTTGTTATTTTAGTTATCATTGTCATTATTGTTATCATTATCATTATTGTTATTATCTGTATCTTGATTTTTACCATTATAATAGCTATTATTATTATCATTATTATTGTTATTATCATTTAATATTATTATTTTATTGTCGTTGTTATTATTATCATCATCATAATTATTATCATTATTATTATCATTATTTATTTTATTATTACCAATGTTATCATTTACATGATCATCATTATCATCATCATCATTATTATTTGTTTTATCATTATCATCATTATTATTTGTTTTATCATTATCATTATTATTATTATCAATATTGTTATCATGATCATTGTTGTTATTATTATCATTGTTATTATTGTTACCATTATTGTTATCATTATTATCATTATTATTATCATTATCATTATTATTATCATTATTATCAGTTTTTTATCATTATTCATCATTATTATTATTATTATCATTATCAATCATAATTTGTATCTTCGTCCCATTTACCATCAAATCCATCCTGTGATTTTCAGGAACATCCCAACCACCATTATCTGCGTCCCAACCAGTCCTTCGGAAACCACGGAACTTAATCGGTTCACAAAACTGTTCTGGTTGGGACATTGGCAACAGAGGCGATACCGGCATGATTCTTTTATTGATTGATTAGTTATTTGTCATTTACACAGCTGTGGCTTATGTACTGTATACACACACACATATAACACACACACACATATGCATATATATGTATATATATACACATATATGTATATATATATACACATATATATACATATATAAATTATATAATGTATATATGTATATATGTATGTATATATATATATATATATATATATATATAATATATTATATATATATATATATATATATTAATATATATATATTATATATATATATATATATATATATATATATATATATATATATATATATATATATATATATATATATATATATATATATATATGTGTGGTGTGTGTGTGTGTGTGTGTGTGTGTGTGTGTGTGTGTGTGTGTGTGTGTGTGTGTGTGTGGTGTGTGTGTGTGTGGTGTGTGTGAGT